GTGGAAACTGGATATCAGGGAAGCATTAATTTTTTCTCACCAACCCCATTCCTCTCCTTCGTCCCAACTTCCATCGCCATCACTTTGCATTGAAATGTCTTCTACGGAAAATGTGATACAAAATTGATGGGGTGGGCAAAAAGAAATCTACTTTGCATAATTTACGTACAAAATGAGGCTCCATTTTATTTTATTTCAGCCAACTTGGTGCAACTTTGACAATTTCCTCAAATTCAAAGCTAAAGCAATTTCTTCGCTGTCTCCCACTTTAATATTCAAGAATTCTTCCCATAATCTGCATAGAGATATCACGACACATGGCCTTTTTCAAAAAAAAATAAAAAATTAAAATAATTTCCGAAGTATTAAATTTTTCTTGCGACTCGTATAGGCTGAAACCAATGTATGGTTTAAAACAGGGAGTAGTTATTGACCATTAAGCATCAATTTGGACAAACCATTCAGGTTTTCTTCATCCGTTCATACTAAGAATTTGCGTGTCACATCAAAATCTTCATTATCACTTTTGAGCAGTGATTGATTCCTGCTTATAAAGGAAGAAATAAAGAAATTTGAATTTACCTTAAGAAATTTGTAGCCATGAAAACATCTCATGGAGCCTTTATTTTCCTTCTTCATGTTCTGCTTTTCTCTTTACATCCACTGAAGATCACGTCGTCTGCAAGAACAGAAGCAGCGGCTCTTGTGAAGTGGAAGAACAGCTTGTCTTCTCCTCTTCTGAATTCATGGTCCCTTGGAAATCTTCGAAATCCTTGCATATGGACAGGAATTCTCTGCAACAACGGGGGATTGGTTTCTGAGATAAACTTATCCAATGCAAGCCTCTCTGGGACCCTTGACCAGCTTGATTTTATTGCATTTCCAAACCTGACGAGACTCAACCTCAGTTTCAACAATTTCAGCGGGTCGATACCATCTAGTATTGGAAGTGTCTCCAATATCTATTCCTTGGACTTGAGTAACAATGTATTGGAGGACATCATTCCAGTGGAGATTGGAAATTTGACAGAGCTTCAATACATTAGTTTGTACAACAACAATCTCAAAGGTCAAGTTCCACATCAAATTGGGAAGCTTCAAAAGGTACAACACATGGATTTTGGATCAAACTACTTGATGAGTCCCCAGTGGTCTCAAATCACAAGCTTCCCTTTGTTGACACATCTCAGCTTTGGTTACAACGAAATCACCTCAGGATTTCCAGATTTTATACTTGGTTGCTGGAACCTTACTTATCTTGATTTGTCTCAAAACCACTTGAACGGACCAATTCCCGAATCATTATTCGTTAATCTAGGCAAGCTTGAATATCTGAACCTTTCTACCAATTCCTTTCTAGGGCCATTATCATCAAATCTTACCAAACTGTCAAAGTTGAAAAATCTTCGATTAGCAACCAACAAACATTCTGGCTTAGTACCTGATATTTTCAACTCTATGCCTAATCTCGAAATTCTTGAGCTGTTTAACAATTCATTTCAAGGAAAGATACCCTCTTCTTTAGGACAACTAAAGAATTTACAGAAACTAGATTTGCGAATGAATGACCTGAATTCCACAATTCCTTCCGAGCTTGGCTGGTGCACCAACCTTACCTATTTGTCTTTTGCCAGTAATTCACTTACTGAATCCTTGCCTTTGTCCTTGTCGAATCTGACCAAGTTGAGAGAGTTGGGTTTATCAGATAATAATCTATCTGGTGATGTTTCACCTTACTTCATCTCAAATTGGACACAACTAATATCATTGCAGCTTCAAAATAATCTTTTCACCGGGGAAATTCCATCTGAAATAGGCTTACTGATGGATCTCAAATATCTTTTTCTATACAACAATACTTTTTCAGGCTCCATCCCTCCTGAGATTGGAAACCTGAAAAATTTGATGTCGATGGACCTTTCAAGAAACCGGCTTTCAGGCATAATACCTCAAACGATCAAGAACCTAACAAATTTACAGATCCTGCAACTTTTCTCCAACAGTCTTACTGGAACTGTTCCACCTAAGATTGGAGACTTAACATTACTAGAGAAGCTTGATGTAAACACAAACCAATTAAGTGGGCAGTTGCCAGATTCCATCTCAAACCTCAGTGCCCTGCAAACTCTTTTCCTGTTCTCTAATGAATTTTCAGGAATCATTCCCAACGACTTGGGAAAGAATAGTCCCAAATTGGCAAATGTTAGTTTTTCAAATAATAGCTTCACAGGTGAACTACCATCTGGATTATGCAGTGGCTTTCTTCTCAATCAATTTACAGTGAATAACAACAGTTTTACTGGAAGGTTACCCGGTTGCCTGAAGAATTGCTCAAGCCTTAATAGAGTACGGCTTGAAGGCAACCGATTTTCTGGGAATATTTCAGAGGCATTTGGAGTTCATCCGAATCTCGAGTTCATCTCTCTCAGCAGAAATCAATTCACAGGCCAACTTTCCACTAAGTGGGGACAATATGAAAGGCTTACAAATCTTCAGATGGATCAAAATAAAATTTCTGGGGTGATTCCAGCTGAGATAGGCAATTTAACACAGTTGCGTGTCCTAAATCTGGATTCGAATGAATTGATAGGTGAAATTCCTGTTGGACTGGGAAATTTAAATGAATTGCTCAATCTCAATCTCAGCAACAATCAATTGACTGGAGAGATTCCTCGAACTATTGGACGCTTAACAAAGCTCCAGTATCTTGATTTGTCAGCAAACAAAATAAAAGGAGGTATTTTGGAAGATCTAGGCAATTGTGAGAGCTTGCAGTTCTTGAACTTGAGCAACAACATTTTATCAGGGAATATCCCGTCAGAACTTGGTAACTTAAATGGGTTACGGTACTTATTGGACCTTAGTAATAATTCACTTTCAGGAACAATTCCTCCAAACTTGGGAAAGCTTACCTCTTTGGAGAATCTGAACCTGTCACATAACAAGATTTCAGGTAGAATCCCATCAGCATTATCTGCTATGGTCAGTTTGAGATTCATGGATTTCTCCTTCAATTACTTTTCGGGTCCAATCCCGACTAGTGATTCATTCAGGAAAGCACCAGCAGAAGCTTTCATAGAGAACTCTGGTCTGTGTGGAAATGGAAACGGGTTATCTCCTTGTGATGAGGTCTCTTCAACTTCCAGGTCACAGAATAATGATCGAAAACTCCATATAGCTGTAATTGTTTCAGTTGTCAGCCTCATAATTTTGGCAATCACTATTGTTGGATGTTTCATCTTTCGGTCAAAGACCAATCCAATTAACGATGAAACAAAAACTGCACCAGAATTTGAGAATTTGGAATCTCTCATTTGGGAAAGAGAAGGAAAATTTACAATTGGAGATATTGTCAAAGCAACTGAAGATTTTAGTGCTAAATACTGCATTGGAAGTTGAGGATTTGGAAGTGTTTATAGAGCAGTTTTGACAACTGGGCAGATTGTAGCAGTTAAAAAGCTCAACCTGTCAGACTCAAGTGATGTACAGATGGCAAATTGTCAGAGTTTTGAGAATGAGATTCGAACATTGACAGAAATACGGCATCGGAACATAATCAAGCTCTATGGATTTTGTTCCAGAAAAGGGTTCATGTATTTGGTTTACGAGTATATAGAAAAGGGTAGCTTGGGGAAAATTTTACATGATGATATGGAGGCATTCGAACTAGGCTGGGGTATGAGGCTGAAAATAGTCCAAGGAGTGGCTCATGCACTGGCTTACTTGCATCACGACTGCTCTCCGCCTATTGTCCACCGGGATGTATCAGTCAACAATATTCTACTTGAGTCAGAATTTGAGCCACGGCTCTCAGATTTTGGCACGGCAAAGCTACTGGTTTCGGATTCATCCAATTGGACCACAGTTGCTGGTTCTTATGGCTACATGGCACCTGGTAATTTAGTACTATTATATGTATCTTGTCCACTGCCCAATCCTTATTCTGCTTTAGTGTCTGCTCTTCCTTTGGAAGTATGTAGTTGCTTTTTCCAAGAATATTTTCCCGTACCTGTGTTTTGAGACAAGGTAACAAGTTAACTTTTTTTTGGAATGCAGAGCTAGCACTTACAATGAAGGTTACAGAGAAATGTGATGTTTACAGCTTCGGAGTGGTGGCATTGGAAGTAATGATGGGACGGCACCCAGGAGAGTTCATATCTTCGCTTTCATCCTCAACAACAACAGCAGCATTGCAAAGTAATCCCGATTTGTTTTTGAAAGATCTGCTCGACCAACGGCTTTCACCTCCTACTGGCCAAATAGCAGACGGAGTGGTGTTTTTAGTAACCATTGTATTAGCATGCACACAGGCCTCACCAGAGTCGCGGCCTACTATGCGTTATGTTGCACAAGAATTGTCAGCTAAGACTCAGGCTTGATGCACTGTATCATATACCAGGATATGGGGATATAAATATGCAACAACATTATCCTTTAGCTTCACACATACCATATCACATACTGAAAATGGATGCATTCGTTTTAGCCATTTTCGATATCATAATTGATAATAAAGCAATTGATGCTGATGATCTGATTCTATTTAGAAAATATGAAGCAGATAGAAAATTATAGAATTATGAACATGGATCAATTATTAACATGGCAGTACAAATGCACTACTACTATGACCAAGTTTTTCTTCCCTGAGATAGTTGAGTGGGAATACAAAAATCGATGCATATAATATACCGGGTTGATTGGAGCAGAAAAGGAGTACTAGCATTAAAAACCATCTCAAAACTTGAGATGAAATCATAATTTGATATCCATCTAACATCGTTTAAGAAGTAAACAGCATACATAGGGAAATTGAAATCGGGTTCTTATTTTTGAGAATTTACATATGCCACCATTGAAATGCTACCAAAATTTCTACACAATATTACTTGCAATTAAAGAAACTACACACGGAAAATGACAGTAGTATTGAAGATTGACGTGGCTAAGTACGGAAAGTAATTAGCACTCCACTCCACATTGTTTCAGTATAGGGCCAGTTTGTTTGGGCAAGAAAGGATCAATTCGAACCCAAACAAGTGAAAAGATTGAAGCTAGAAGAATTGACCAGAGAACAACAATTGTAGGAGTCCTGTTTTGCCTTCCCATCAACCCCTTGAGGAAAGGATAGAGGTGAACAATAACCCAAAAGGCAAAGAATAACTTTCCAAAGAGAGGACCCCACGAACCATATCCATTGTTAATGGCATCAGAAACTCCTGCTACCACACCAACCATATTTAGGATTATCAGAGTGGTTGGTGGAATGAGAAGGGTCGTCCATTTGAAGAGGTAGAGCTCCCCAAACTCTGCATCATCAGCAGCTTTTGCTGTTACAGTGAAGTTTGTGTCAACACCGGCAAGGACCTTGAGAAGACCTTGGAAGACTGCAAAAAGATGTGCTGAGACGCCACCAATAACCCAGAATTGCTCATTGCGCCACCAGTCCTCAATGCTTACACCACTCCATCGGAGCTCAAGCACACCTGTCACTATGATGGAGAGGAAAAGAGCCATAAACCATATGCTTGCCAGGTTGTTTAGCTGCTCAAGACAATAGATTCTGATTAGAAATGCACTTACTAATCTTACGATGACATTTCAACTAACCCTATATATTAGGGGACAGTAAATTACAATTACAATTTCTCTCTTTTTGTGCTTCTAGGGTAATAGTTAGGCATCAATAATACTTACAGTTGGAACGATGAACTTTCCAGTGAGAAGGCACACAGCTGGAAGTGTGCAATAGGCTATCAAAGCAATTGAAGTGAATGGATACACAATGGTGTTAATATAAGCAAGTCTCTCTAGCAATTTTAGCTTTCCTCCATAACCATACCACAGTGGACAATGACGACTAAGGAAGATTTCGACAGAACCAAGAGCCCATCTCAGGACTTGGTGCAACCTATCTGATAGATTGATTGGAGCTGATCCCTTGAAACAAGGTCGCTTGGGTGAGCAGTACACTGACCTCCATCCTCTACAATGCATCTTGAAGCCTGTCAAAATATCTTCTGTAACTGAACCATAAATCCATCCAATCTGTGAATAAAAAGCGTCTATGAGAGGTTGCTTTTCTAATAGAGTAACACAATTTTGATTATACTTAAAGAAAATATCAAGTTTCAATCAGATTTTATTCAATTTTTTATCATATTGTTGTTGACCAGTCAGAATAGAAGTTAAAGACTTTGAAACTTCACAAAAGGCCAAGTGTCAATACTAACCTCTTTGCCCCATTCAGTTTTCTCTTCATATCCACAACTAATAACATGAATGGCTTCTTTGATAAGAGACCCCGGATTAGTTCCCTCAGGGAGACCACCATCTTCCATAAGAGTGGAAGTAATGAAAACTGGCGACATTCCAAACCGTTTCTCAAAGTTCTTTTGGGACATGAGAGATGATTTTTCCAACTCGTCATATCCTTCAAGCCCTTCTTCAATCTCTTCAAGATCAAATGCTGTTTCGGACGATCTCCTTGTGTAATGTTTGCCCATCATTTTCTTCTTACTATATAATCCTCCAAGGCCAAGCATAGCCTTGAATCCTTTTTTCTTAGCCTTTGACTTCTTCCTAGAGCCACCACAACAGCAGCAGCACCACTTTGGCCAGCAGTCACAAGTCATTTTGGGCCGCTTCTCAGACACAGGTGGATCGTAACCATACAATGCCTGCCTGTTGAAAACACACCCAGTGCCAACATATACAGGCCCTTGGATACCATCTAGGCCTTTCATGTTGATCTGTTTCCAAAAAAGGCAATTCCACAACTTTCAGATTTGACAGAAAATTACTTATCCTACATTAGGTTCATATGATATATTTCATTGCCATTGGGTATTAAAAAAGTAGGGGATGCGTGCCAGAAGACGAAATGGAGAGAAATTCAACTCACATCAAAGAATACAACATTGCGATTAGCATATCTATCATGACGATCAATACCATCAAATCTCTGTGGAAATTGGACATAGCAGAGCTTCTTTCCGATTTGAGGATCCATGAGAAAGCACATCGCTTCCTTCATAGCCTTGCTGTTGTTAATGTAATGATCACAATCCAGATTTAACATGAAAGGTGCATTAGTGAGTACTGCTGAAACTCGAACCTGTAAACCAAATATATAGAAAGTCCCAAGTGTCAGCATCACTAAATCAATCTTTCAGATCCACAGGAAATGACAGGATGTTAACTTAGCAGCTACATACCAGTGCATTCATGGCACCAGCTTTCTTATGGTGCTGATAGCCAGGTCGTTTTTCACGTGAAACATATACTAGCCGTGGTAGCTCCTTACCTTCAACATCTAGTGCACCTTCACTTCCCAAATACACCTACAATGTCAGAAACAGTTGTTTAGTTATTGATATAGCTGAACTTTTAACATCAGCAATCGACTCTCAAGAAGGTAATTAGGGACTTAGAGGATCATTGTCAAAAGGTTAGCTGATCTAGTTTTGACTAATTAACCTGAATCATTCCCGGGTGATCACGAGTGTTGTTCCCAGGCCATGGAGTTCCATCCTGCATTACCCATCCTTCTTCTGGTTTCTTTTGTGCTTTAGCCACCAAAGCATTAATTCTTACTTTGAACTCTTCGTATTCTCTCTGCAATTCATAAACATTGTATAAGAATGATTTAATTCCACTATATTCACCAAGAATAGCAGAAGAATGGAGTTTATCTTATTTACCTTCATGGCCCTACGATCCTTCACAAAAGTAGGCTGTACCTTGTCTTTTAAGTAGTCAATTTTCTCAGAGAAGTAGAACTCTGGAGTCCGAGGTTCAATGCTGTATGTGTGGCAAAATGGCACCCACCTCCTTGCAAACTCAGCTGTTTCAGCCAATGTATCAAACAGAAGCATCGAGGCTCCATCATCCGACACATAGCAAGTCACCTTCTCGACTGGATAATCCACGGCCAAGATTGAGAGGACTGTGTTTGCAGTAATAATGGGTGGTTCCTTAAGAGGGTCAACAGTACTAACGAAGACATCAACCGGGAGAAGCCGGTTAGGCTCACCCTCCCGCTCAAACCTCAAGGACAAACGATCAAGATAAGTTTCGCGATTTATGGGAAACCATTTGGGAAATTGATCGAGAATCCAGGACAATCCGAACCATATTTCACATATCACAGAAATAATCCATAAGGGATAGGCATCATATGCGGGGGTTAAGATTCTAAAATGGAAAAAGAAACATAGAATGATTAAACGAATGACGATGACTATGCGATAGGGATTGATTAGGCTTGAAGGAATCGGGACTTTTCGCCAGAGTGGCTGCCGAGCTTCAGCAATACTGAGGAAAAACAGGAAAGTATACCATCAGCAATGAATCGTAAAAAACTTTAAGCATTACCCCCATAACACAAAAAATCAAGAAAATGCAAAACTGAGAAAGTGAAAATCTTACAGATAATCATCATCGTCTTGATCATTTCCTCCGTCATCTGCTTTTGTAACAAGACCTCTCTTCTCTTGCCTAGTTTTCCATTTTTCAACTCTTTCCTTCCATTCTTCATTGTTGTAAGTTTCTTTTTCACCTTCAAAATCCTTTCCTTCAACTATATGGATGCAATATGGCAATCAGTGTCAGTTACACAAGAAAATATTTGCAGGGAAACTCATAAATATTTGGTATAATATTTGATTACCACTTCCTGCAACAGAAGGAATGGCAGCCCCATTGGTATGAATTTGGTGCTGATTACAGTCCCTTTGTTCCTGCCAAAGATAATTTTGAATTTCTTGCGTTTAATCTAATGGTATTCTCTTTGGAACAACATATTAAGCCCCCGTTTTGAAACTCCTCAATTCAATTCAATTTAATTTATTTTTTTCTCACTCCTATTTTCAATTACACAATCTTCAATAAAATATTATTACATTCAAATCGAAAACTTTTCAACCACATAATCTTCAAAAAAATAATATCCTCCCCATTATAAATTCAAATAATGAGGGTCAAATGGAGGCTAAACATTTGGTGGATTTAGGATGCTAAGATGCATTTTGTCCAATTTGTTATTGGCTAAAAACACCACAATTTTTAATAACTGTTATACATTTATTTATTTAATAACTTTTACATGTTATCATATTTATATCTCAAACTCTTTTTCGTTTTATTATTCTCAAATATAAATAAATTGTTTTTTTCTTGTGATTTATCTTCAAAATTCTTTAAGTCCTTGTTTGATTCCCATATTTTCAAAATAATTTTTTCTCTTTTTTTAATCACATATTTTTCAATAAAATAATATTACATGTAAATCCAAAAAAAAAAAATCTTATTTTTTAACTAAACTTTCTTTATCAATATACTATCCAAAAATGCATTATTCAATAAAAAAGGGACCCAAATAGAGTAACAAAAAAAAAATTCTCTATTATATTAATAAATAAGCAAAATAATAATAATGCAAAAATACAATTAAATATTTGACCCTCATTTCACATCATGTTAACAATATTTTTGGGCGAAAATTATGATTAAGGACAATTTTCTAATCAATGAAATGTTAAAATAAGAATATGATGAAGAAAAAAGTTAAACATATAAGTGTGATAATGAATAAATGTTA